ATAGATATGAAAATAAGAAGTTCTTTATTTAATTGAAATTTTTTAAGAAATTAACAAAGAAAGTTTTGTGGAATTATTTGGTGTTCGTTATGCAAACAAATTTTACTAGAACATTTTAGATATGACGAGCTAATATATATTCATAACTTTTAAAGCCTCAAATTTAAAGATGTAAAAGAGATTATAATATAATATATATAATAATATATATAATATTTATATATATTATATAATAATATTATATATATATATTTATATATTATATATATATATATATATGAACGTTATATTTAAAATTAAATAATTGACATAATTGCATAATTACCCTTAACACATTTTATATACATATCTTATTTATTTAATAAATATCTAAACCAACTTATAGATCTTCTTATATGCCATTTCATTTTCAGTTATGTTAAATTATTAAGTGGATAAAAAATTATAATAAAATATCTTTAAGGGTATAATGGTATATTATGCAGATTGTTTAGTTTTTTAGCATAAAATATTATAAATCCTTTATATCTTCAAATCTGGGGTCAAAAAAATTTTGAAAAAAGATTAAAAAGCCCAACATGTCTAGAATGCTCTAGTTAAATTAATTGTGAAACAATCCTAACCAACAAAAAAAATCACTTATACTTACACATGTCAATTTCTTAATGAATTACAATTAGATAAGAAGTTTCTTATTTTCATATCTACACTGCCCATACAGTCGATAGAAAATTTTTTAATGAATTGCAATTAAATAAGTAGTTCTTAATCACTAGTATTGATACATAATGGATACACAATTAAACACATCAATATACATTAAATGCACAGTTATAATACAGTTAATATGCAGTAAAGCTATCTTAATAATGTATCAAAAAAACTATTCCTTATAAGTTCAATTCTTAATACACATTCGATACACTATCGATACACAATTGAAAAAACAACCAATACACAATTAATGCATAGTTGAAAAATAGTTAATAAAGAGTGAAATGAACAAAATTTGCTAGAAATTTTAAAATCTTGAAACCTAATTTTGAAAATGCAATACATAGTTGATATACACAATGCATAATCAAGACACAATCGATACATAGTGAATACATAGTTGAAATATAATCAATACATAGTAAATATGCAGTTAATACATAATTCAGAAGTATTGAATTTATCTTGATAGTGTATCAAAAAAATTATTCTTTATAGTTCAACACAGTTAAAAAAATAACTAATACACAGTTGAAAAATAGTTAATACATAATAATACACATGTTCAATAACATGACAATGAATTAAATCAACTCAACTATTACATTGAATGAAAAAATTATGAACCATTCTTATTATAATGAATTATTTAATTTAATCATTAATCTTACACTTAAATTTAATGCAATAATTATTCTGAAGTAATGGTATCCATTATCATCTCTTTACTCAGGCCTTGGCATACTAGTTGCTTCCCATTTATGAATTCCTTATTGAAACAATCGGGCATGCTTAAGAACTTAATCTGACTTGAAGGTGAAGACATATTTGTTATATTTGTCTTCACGAAAAGTTTCTCTATTGGTAAAACTAATCTTAGTAAAATATATATACTATTCATATATAATAAAAAAGTAATTAGTATGTAAGTTAAATTTTACTGTCTTTTTTTTTTTTTTCTCAATGACTCTTAGCCTTGCATTATAGAAGCGTTTAGGCCTACACTTTAGTGGATCTTTTCAAATTTAATAATATACCCTATGTTTGCCAAGAAAACTTGTGGTTCTTTCTTTTGCCATCAAGGATCGTGTTGCCATCAAGGATCAAGTCTATATTTTTAATCATCTCCTTTATTGCAGCCAACATATATATTCTGCTTCCTTATTGCCCTGTGCAGAGATATAATCTGATATGAAAATTTGCCAATAAGATTTTTGAATATTAGGCCACTACCTACCTTAGACGACTTTCCTGAACCTATGAACATGGGCCAACATATTATATATATATATATATATATATATATATATTTCTTAGCTCTCGCTGACAATCGCAGTAGTAAGTACCTCACAGGAATATTCACAATATCTAGTTATCTTATAACTCTCATACATTAATAACATATAAAAACCATCATCTCAAACTTTTCGTAGGTGCATTGAATGGTACCCTCTTTTGCATCAAAATAATTAGTCCAAAGGATCGAGTGGTCCTTATTCTCTACGTTCTTAAAAAAAAATTTTGATAAATCATTTGAGGTATATTTTATACAGATTCCACCCACACCCTATAAAAATTCTTCATTAAAAAATGAATATGATTTTCTTGAATAAAATAAAGAAGATTGCTTTAGTATTTGGCTGCTTTTTATTATAGGTACTATTTTGAACTGGCTTCATCTATAGTCTTCATCATGTTCATTTTAGTGCCAAGTCATCACCACCATCTCTAACATCAAAAAATAATCAGTTATAAAACTTATTGGCTTCAAAATGCCATGACACATATTATTAGTAAACTCTTTACGCTGTGTTGATAGAATACATATGCTAAAATCTTTATTAGATATTGTAGATCGCTTATTCCTTATGTTATAAAGCTCCTTCAACCAATCATGACTGTAGAGCTCCCTTATGGGATCATGTCAGCCCATATTTTCTTCGGCTCCACCTTATAGTCACACATGTTCAAACACTTATAAAATAGTCATTTGACCTTGTTATTGCTATTGAAACAACAGACTTTTGATGAAATCTTTTTACAAATGTGCCATTGAAATAGTCTATGATGTGTCTAAGATAATGCAACTTCTACGACTCTAGTCATTGCTTGGCCCTGATAAATAAATATTATTATTTGATATTTATCACTCATTATTCGTATAAATATTTTAAACAACAATATAAATGATTCAATTATTTTCTTTGATAGAAAAATCACCCCAAGTTGTATATTCTGCTAATGATTATTAACTCCGACAAATTGTGCACAAATTAAATTATATTTATTAAGTATATAACTAGTATAAAAAATTATCACATCACTAAAATAGTCATAATCTATCTTTTCTATTCCATCAACCCAAATTTTTTTTAATAATCTATTAAATTCATTAATTTGGACTTCTCATGCAAACAAACTGTCATCAACTTGTCTATCTTGAAATTAACAAATTAGTGTCTCCATATTCACTATGCTCTTTGCTCTTTTCTCTTTTAAAATATAATTATATGCACCCCTTCTTTAGAGAATCTAACATTTTCGATATCACCAACTTCATCGATAAGGTTGAAAAATCTACTAACGATTCTTATCCCGACTTTTGTCATTGGTTTAAAAATTGATGCTTTCTCATCACCCATATTCCTACATAATCAAAGTAGAAGTTGGTCTTCTTGTCTAGCCAATTCATGATTGTGATTTTTTAATACATTTTTGTACTTTCTAATACCCAGTTTTATCCACTACAAAGCTAATCATAGCTGGACAACCCGTTATGGTCTCCAATTTTCAAAAATTTATTTAGGAATTAAAATCTAGACCCTTCTTGAAACTAGATTTTGAACAGACAAAATTCTTGCATTTTATTTTTTCAAATTTGGCCAGTAAATGTGATGATCATTGCGAACACTAAAATCATCATTATAGACATAATTGTAGTACACATCAGATACCTCTTTCTCATCTTTATACACACCCTGTTTAGAAGTTGGCACACAATCACAACATAGCTTGTAAATAAATAATAAATACACAGATTGTACACAATCAATACATATTCAACATACAATTGTATAAAGTCAGTACACAACTTACACGTAGTGTGTAGAAGATGCTACATAATCAATAAAAGCTGGTACATAATTATACACAGCTTGTAAATAAAAAGTCAATTAACATATTGTAAAGAGTCAATACATAATCAATAGATAATGGCTAAAAGTTGGTACACAGTCTGGCAGTCAGTACATAGATGATACTCAATCAATACACAACTTATACATAGCCAATACATAACTTGTATAAATGTGTACAAGCTCGCACATCAGTACACAATCAATACACAACTTGTATTTAGTCAATACACAGTCAGTACAAAACTTTTATATAGTCAATACACAGCTTGTATATAATCAATATATAATTAATATGTACAAGCTATCACACATCAATACAGTCAATATGCATCTTATATATAGTCAATACACAATTGATACATAGTCAATACACAATTGATACATAGTCAATACACATCAATACACAACTTGTGCATAATCAATACATAGCTTGTATACAGCCAATACACAATCAACACATAGCTTGTACACAATATATACAAGCTATTACATATCAATACACAACTTCTTGTGCATAGTTAATACACAGTTAATACACAATCATTACATAGATGGTATACAATCAATACATATTAACAATGTATTGATTGTTTACAAGCTTTTGTACATTGTGTTGTTATAGGAACCCCAAAAAATTGGGAGGATTTTGAAATTTATTGATAAGTTGAAACATACAACACCTCCAACCAAAGTAACATCCATTTCATACCGTAAACTTTTCATGGTTGGCTGTAATTTTTTCTACTTAAAGTCTTTTATGGACGTTTGCATACCGCCTTTTGGCCTCCGATTCCTATGGGCATGTCATGTTCTTGAAGAATGCAACATCATCCTCCAAAATAATCTTCATCTTCATGACTTAAAAAAGAGCGGCAACTCTAAACCCTAAATTTGAACTGGACAGTGAAGGACTTTTTCAAAAATCAAAATTACCTCCTCTGAGTTGGCTCAATCGAGCTTGCAAGAAAAAATAAAATAAAGTAAAATATATTAAGCATTCACGTGTTCAATTCATATATCACAATTTCATTGGAGTCAATAGAGCTGTCCGGAGCCCGCAAGTGATGATTTCTGGTTCAATTGGGTTTGAATCTTTGATTCCTTCGGTGCCATGACCATGAAAAAACAATAACATAGCGATCTTTACCATTTAAGCCAATTTTGCCGCCTCACAACAAAATATCGGAATCGGATAACTGTAAGAGACGGAACGCAAAGTGCAAATCTTTCTCTGCCTGTTGAGTGCACGACGCCTTCCTGCCTCATCCCTCCCAATTTCTACTCTCTCATGGAAGCAAAATCCTAGAAGAAAACGGAATCTTCCCCAATGGCGAAATCCCTAGCTATCTGCCCTGCGTACTTCCTCGCTACCCCTTTACCCTTCCATGTTCGCCATGGCAGACAGGGGTTTCCGCTTTCGAGGCCCCAGCGAGCGGTTGCTAGGGTTCGGATGAGCCTCGGGGATTTTCCTCAACCAAACGGGTTTGATTCCCTTTTTGACTTGGGCGGAATTACTTCGAGGATGGAGGGGTTGCTCTTCACGTTGGCGGACGCTGTGGTGGCCGCGGATCCTTCTACGTCTGAAACGACAGCTGCTGCGGCGGCTCAGAAAAACGGGGGTTGGTTTGGTTTTATCTCAGACGCCATGGAAGTTGTTCTGAAGGTAATTTGGTATTTCTCATTGCTTTTTATTTTAGTCTCCGAATAGAGAAATTGGAGCTAGTTTGAGCCTAGGTTTAAAGGGGGAGAGTTTTGTTTGGGGGGTAAATCTGCTTTTTTTTAATGATTGGTTTTTTATTTTCTTCAATTCATTTGCAGGTTCTGAAGGATGGGCTTTCTTCTGTTCATGTGCCGTATGCCTATGGTTTTGCAATCATATTGCTTACTGTTATTGTGAAAGCGGCAACCTTTCCTCTGACTAAGAAGCAGGTGAATGGTTTTATTCTCATCTACATCTTGGAAAATTAGTTTGGTTTCTGTTACTGGATTTAGGATATGAAACAACGCTTGAGCTTTGGCTTGAGAATGTGATGCGTGTGAGTTTGTCTTAATTGGCTTGAATCAAACCACCTTGTATTTTAACACAAGCAACAACTCCTGCATATATAACTTTAATGATTTAAATATAAACATCATTAACTCTTTTCTTTTCTAGAACTCTCAAAGCACTTCTCTTGGAACTTTATCATATGCTTTTTTTAAATAAATAAATATATCCTTCTTATTCTCTCTATGCTTCTCCATAAATCCTCTCAATAAATGTATAGCTTCCATAGTAGACCTACCCTGCATGAATCCAAATTGATTTTGAGAAACATTAGTATCATGTCGTAACCTATGCTCAGTCTCTCTCCCATAATTTTAATGTATGACACATTAACTTAATTTCTCTATAATTTGCACTCTTGTGCATCATCTTTATTCTTAGAAATCAACACACTCTTTCTCCACTCATTTGACATTTAAACTTGCTATCATAACAGTGCAAACAAAAAAAAAGTAATTTGAGTATACCCTCCCTCCCATCTTATTTCTCTTCACTTCTCTCCCCCCCATCATTCCCTACTTCCACGCCACACTGCAAAGCACACTACCACACTTGGTTGGACACCTACCCTCTTGCTGCTAGTGATGTATATCCACTTTGCTCACTATATAACGATCATACTGGTAAAAAAACTGATCAATATTGTTGGCCAGTGTATCTTTTCTTTCAAAATACCGATTAGTTCCCCCACTTCATAAAAAGACCTACTTCCCCTCATTTACGTAGTCAATTGCTTCCATGTTGTGGTCCCTCCCACTCACCAAAAAACAACTCTTTAAACTTATTGAACAACTTTGCGTTGGCCTTGACCGTGATCTTACTCGCAAAGAATTTGCTCACAATTGCTTGAATGCCTACCATAGTCTCCAACTCTCCCCAAATGGAGAATGGAGAAAACCATGTAGTGGATATCACAAAATCACATAAATTGTGTAAATCCATTATTTAGTGAGTAATTTGATTTAGGTATTTCAAAAATTCAATTTGAACTGATTCATGTTAAATCTTGCAAAATCCAGGTTAAAGCATGCTATCAGTTGGCCCCTTGGTAAAATTTATATTGGAAATACAAAACTTGTCTGCCCTCTATGAGGGAATGCAATGCTTATTATTAAAGGCTAAATAGAATTAACTTCATGCAGTCCTAATTTTTTGGTTTTCTTGTTAGTTCATACCAATGTTTGTTAAGGATGTCTAAGGTTATTTGCTTGTAGTTAAATATTTTGAAAATGTATTTCTGTAAACTTAAGGTTTCTGTATATGAGGGCACACAAATCTTTGTATTAAGGGCTTATAGACATAATTTTCTGGTAGCTTCATTTCTTTCATCTGCTGCGTGATATTTATGCATCAAGATTTCTTGAATTGACCATGTCTGCTTATTTTCAGAACCAGATATTAACAGAAAAATTCACAATAATTAGATGGAGAAAACTAACATCAATAATGCTGCAAATTATCACTACTCTTATTACTGTTCAGGTGGAATCAACATTGGCCATGCAAAATTTACAACCAAAGATCAAGGCTATCCAAGAAAGATATGCAGGCAACCAGGTTTGTTCTGTACCCTCTTGCTCATGCATGTTTAGCTTCCCTTTTTATGAAAATCTTATTCATGCTTCAGGATCAGGCTCTTTTGTAATGACCTTTTTGTTCTTTTCATTTTCTGTGGATTTTTACTCTTGTAAGTCGTGAGAGGTTCTGTGAATGAAGAGAAGGCACAATTTGGTGAAGACATATGGAAGTTGGTGCGTAAGTCCAAATTGATGGATGAGGAAAATGAAAGAGGTGTTCTAATATTCAAATTCAGTCTATGTGCAATTCTTTTTTTTTTCTTGGTCCATAACCAAAGGGCTGGTTATGAACTTGCTCTAGAAGGGCATTTTTTTCCTTAGTTTGCGTACATTTTGCTAGAATATACTTTCTGTTAGCAATTTTGGAGCTGTGGGCTTTTTGGAGCAGCATAGTGAACAATAGTTTGAGGAAGTGAGCGGAGGAAATACAACGGGTGTAGGTAATAGCAAGCTTTATTGGTAAATAGTTTTAAAGTTGTTGTTTAGGTCTTGAGATCAAATCCCACCTACATAATATTTGAGCATTGGCACTTAACTTTCTCACCAAAAAAAAAGAAAAGAAAAGAAAAGAAAAGAACTATGATGAGTTTAGTGTAATTCTAACATATAAGGCTTTTTCTGGTACTACTTCATTGGGAGTCACTTACAATTACATGCTGCTTTCCTATTAACTTGCAGAAATGTGCATTTTCATTGCTTTTTGTGCCATGCCAAATCAATTAGCAATGCGGGTGCTTGTGCTTTTGGATTTTGTTGCATGGAAGCCCTTGCTACCATACTACTTGAAATTTGAATGAATAACCCTGTATTCCTTCCCCGTGCAATTTGTTTAGCCCAAGTTAGTTATGGGTATACTTTATTTAGAGACATTCATGTCGACTCATTTGTCGGAGATATGTAAAGGTTCTATGTGATAGTTGTTTATTCAAATGTGTTGTTGTTGTATCATACCTGTGACTTCGCATTTTAATTCTATTATTGTTTGCATTTGTCCGCTTGTATGTATGTTGCAGATTTGATTATGAGTGTTATGGATAAGAAATCTAGCACATTTTTCACACCTATCATTTATTGTCTTTATATAATTGGATTTTAATTGGGTGGGTTCCATGGGAAATCAATTTTTTGTGTTATAAATAGGGTAGCCCTCTAGTTCATCTTCATCACAAGTTCAATTTGTCTGGTGTGCTTTTAAGGACTTTTACGTGTCCATCAAAGTTCTAGGAGCGGGGATGAGGTTCTATTTATTCATCTTTGGCTAGTTTTTGAGTTCATTACAAGTCCCCCGTAAGTCTAATATTGCTCTTTTTTGCAATTTTTATTCTCATTTAATTATTTTGGGGATTTCACATTCAACTTAATGTCATTGTAGTTTCCCAATGTGTCCATTTTTATTTTATTTTATCCTATTTAGGTCCCCTATTAGTGTAAATTTAGACAATATACTGGTGTCTCTCTCTTGTAGAGGGCATCAGAAGGAATGCTAGGCCTTCCCACCACGCTAAAAAAGATATGCATGATCAGTGTTATTAGACATCGCTACCGGGGTCTTCTATTTCACTAGTTAAGAAAGACATGCATGGGCCTTTAGTTTTTTTTTGTAACTTGCGATATTTCTCAATCACATAAAAAAAGATGCGCATATGTACCTAAATTTACCCCTTCGTGCTATGAAAAGCGCAGACATGACTTACTTGTTGCATTGCGAATGTCCTTTACGAGTTTCCTCCTGCAACTATGAAAAGCATGCATTGGTTTTGCTCATCGGTCCGAACACATTTCATTTGGGATTTTAGAGGTTTTTAAAGGTTGCAAGCTTATACCTTTTTAAAGGTTCTTTTTGTTTTTTTTTTCTTCTTATGGTCTTTTTTTATTCTTTTTTATTTTTTTTAAGATTATGCTTCTCTCTTTAGAGAGAGAGAGGAGAGAGAGAAGTGAGAGAAGAGAGAGAGGATTAGAGAGCTGAAGAGGGAGAGAATTAGAGAGAGAACGGGTGTGGAGGGAGAGACAAGAAAGAGAATAAGAGTAGGATAGAGATAGAAGAAGTGTGAGAGTGAGAGAGTGAGAAAGTTTGAGAGAGAGTGTGTGCTAGAGAGAATAAGAGAGATAATGAGACAGAGAAGAGAGGGAGAGAATTTAGAGAGAGAGAGACAAAGAGAGGGAGATAATTTAGAGAAGATATAAAGTGAGAGAGATGGTGTAGAGAGAGTATTGGAGAGAATGAATGAATGATGAGAGAGATGGATAATGGAGGAGATTTTGAGAAAGTGGAGAGAGAGAGAATGAAGGGGAGGGTGTTCGTCAACTATGACAGTGAGTGGCTGGTGGGCTAGGAAAATGGCAACAAGCTTCAACTACGGGGTTTGTGGGAAGGCAGATTGCACGTGTAGGGTTGCCCTCACGCTCTCAGCCTCTCACACAAGCAACGTCGTGCACAAGATATGAACACAGAGTGTGTTGGCATGGATGGGTGCGACTTTGGTGGTACTGAAACTAAGAGGGGGAGAGAGTGCAAGTAAGATTGCGAAAGGGTGAGGGAAGAAGAGAGTTGATGAGAGATGGGGGAGGATGTTGGTTGAGTGTACGGAGATGTGCGAGAAATGGAGAGTTTGTGCGGCTCAAGCGTGGTTATGACGTGAGACAGAGAATAGGTGGAATGGGGAAGAAATGAAGGTTATTTTACATTATATATATATATATATATATATATATATAATTTTTATTTTTGTCGCTTGTGCAAACACGGCGCCGTATCATCACCTAATATGATCAAAATTTTTTATTTTTGTGTGCGAAGATGTCAAGTGATATGAGCGCCGATCTTAACTGTTTCAATTGTCTATCTTGTGTCAGCATTGCCCATTTCATGAATGGATGCAGTTTGGGCGATTTCGACTTTTGTTCAATGTGTTTTAGAAGCTTTTGCACGACGTCACATTTTCTAATTGCCGTTTCGTCTTGTTTGGTCGAGTAGATCTCAGAGCGACTATTGAGGTCAACAATGTGTATCAATGTTTATGGTTTGTTGAACTATTTGACTTTTTTTGTTTCTGTATTTATTGATCAACAAGCATAAATCAATACTTATCATGCTTGAAGGAGTACTGTGAATTCTCAAACAACTTGTAGTTTTCTGTAAAAAGTAATACGCTAGGAAAACAGTGGCCAATAAATAATTATGTTTATTTGAATCATTGATCACATATGACATTCCGATACTACACCAAAAAGCAATCCTTTCGTTGAAAGAAACTTCTCTGTACGTTTTTTTAGATGCCTTTGAATCTTGGGTAATTCAACATTTTCTGTGCACTAATTTTTGCCAGAAAACTTTGCGAAGGATGACGGTTATTATGAAGGGATGCGACTTACCTTGTCCTACCGATGATGTGATGCATGTAATAGTTGGATTTCGAAGGATAAATTTTTTAGTCTCTG